GGCCATTGGTAAAGACTAAGTCCAAGATGTTTTGATGTCTGGTAGGGTTATTGACATACTGAGTCCATTGTTCAAGCTCTAGACGTCCAGTAAACGATTCATAACGTCTCGACGCTTTGACTGGGAGCCAAGAAATTTTCGGGCATGTTGAAGTCACCACAAATTAACTTGCCTCTGAATGGAAGGGATGATGCTAGTGTGAATACCTCCGATAATACTGCTATTTCATCTATTGATGCGTTAGGTTGACGATAAACACAACCAAGCAGTAAGGTAACGGAATTTGATGGCTTTAATACAATCCCCACCGAATCCTTCAGTTGGTTTAGTTCAGGCATATCACATAGTAGTGACTTTAGGCTAGAGTGAGCGTAAATAAGGCATCCTCCGCCTCGTCCATTCAATCTATCACTTCTATATAGGAAATAGTTATCAGGAGATATACTTCGGTCGGAAATATTACTGTTTTTCCATGTTTCAGATATCATTATAAGTGATGGTTGATATATGGATACAAACAGGGCTAGATCCGCCTTTTTGTTGCAGATCGATCAAGCGTTGATAAGACATATTTTAAGCAAGTGGCCTACTAAGTTAAAGTCGTCGTAACCCTAGCGGGTGTGAGGTGAGTTTGATGTGAGGGATTGGATGTTCTTCATTAGCTCGGTATTTTGATAGCTAGACTTAGTGGGAGATGTATCAAATGAACTAGGGAGTCGTATTGTCGTGTTGTCGTGTTGTGCGATTGTACCGAAAGGAAATCGACGTGAATAGGATTTCCTTCTAAATACGCTGCTTTTAAGCGATCAATGCTGATGCTATCGTTGGTTCCGTTCTAATCGATTATATAGTACTTAGATTCACGTTGAAGAACTTTGAAAGGTCCTTCGTATGCTGATTCGAAGGGTCGTCGATGCGAGTCTCGACGAACGAAAACGTGTGTACTATATCGTAAGTCAGGTTGAACGAAAACATCAGTTGATTGAGGTCGAGTGGAAGCAGGTTTAACTGAACGCATTGCGTTTGTAAGCCTGTTCGTGTAGGAGGTTAGATCCATGCTCATTGAAGAGGATGAAGGATCCACGAATTCTCCTGGAAGTCGAAGTGTCGTTCCATAAACGAGTTGAGCCGCAGTGTATCCAATGTCAGCTTCCACAGCATTGCGAATACCTAGTAAGACGAGTGGAAGAGCGTCGGTCCACTGTGAAACGTCTGCAGCTGATAGTGAAGCTTTAATTTATCGGTGAAAGCGTTCTACCAACCCGTTTGCTTGCGGGTGGTAGGCAGTTGTTCCGAAGCGAGTGATTTCTAAAAGTGTGGTCAGACGACGGAAAAGTTCAGATTCAAACTGACGTCCGCGATCTGTAGTGATGGTTGAAGGGCAGTCGAAGTTTGCTACCCATCGTTCGACGAAGGCGCAGGCCACTGTTTCAGCAGTGATGTCCTTGATAGGTCACAAAGAAAGGTTTCCTTACCTGTTCCCATCTGTTTGATGCATAGCTTGAGTGTTGTAGACGATAACTCGTGCTGAAGATCAGTGTCTTCTTTTTGAAGCCGAGCGAGTTTAAGAAGGTCGATTCCTTGGAAACTGTTCAAGGAAGTTATGCTAGACAAGGCGTCTGCGACTACATTGTTTGCTCCAGAAATGTGTTGAATGTCTGAGGTAAACTGGGAAATGTAGTCCAGTTGACGAGACCAACGAGGCGAGTACTTGTCTGAAGAAGAGCTTGAAGAGAAGTTAAGCGGTTTGTGGTCAGTGAAAAGGGTGAATTCACGGCCTTCAATGTAGTGTTGGAAATGCCGTACAGCACAATACATAGCTAGGAGTTCCCTACTGAATGTGCTGTACCTTGATTCGGTGTCTAGCAACCGTCTAGAGAAAAATGCTAATGGTTGCCAGGGGTTGTTAACCCATTGTTGTAAGATTCCTCCGATTGCTGAGTCGGATGCGTCTACTGCGATACTAATGGGTGCTTCGGTGTCCTGATGAGCAAGCATTGTTGCTTTGGCGATAAGTTCCTTAATTGTGGAAAATGCTTTTCGTGTGGTGTCGTCCAGATTGATGGATTTCGCATTTCCACTAAGATGATCGGTAAGAGGCTTCATAAGTAATGCGCATTTCGGTATGAAATGTCTATAGAAACTTACCAGGCTGTTAAACGTGCGTAATTGCTTGACGGTGGTCGGTTCTGGGTAATCCAGAATGGCTGCCACTTTGGTTCTAAGGAGTCGAATCCCTTGAGCATCGGTAGTGTTCTAAAAAATCTAATGAGTCCGTTCCGAATTGGCATTTCTGAACGTTTACAGTAATGCCATGTTTTTGTAGTCGGTCGAAGACAAGATCCAAATGCTTGAGATTCGATTCTCTGTCCGGACTTGCGATTAGGCAGTCGTAAAAATACGCATGTACGAAGTTGGGACGTCGAAAAACGTCGTCTATAAACCTTTGGAATGTTTGAGCAGCGTTTCTTAGACGGAAAAGCATTCGCAAAATTCATAGAGTCAAAAGGGAGTAATGATAGCTGTTTTCGGTATATCGTCTGTAGCCATAGGAATTTGGTTATACACTTTAACCAAGTCGATTTTCGAAAGGACAGTTGTACCTTTGAAGGTAGCTGTCAAATCGTGAATGTGAGGCAACGGGTTACGATCGGGAATGGTTTTCGCATTCAATCACCGATAGTTACCAGTTGGACGCCAATCGTTGCTGTCCTTTTTAGGGACCATGTGCAACGGAGATGCATATGCGCTATTTGACGGTCGTATGATTCCTAAGTCTGTCATATGGTCGAACTCGTTTTTCGCTAACCTTAGCTTTTCGGGAGCTAGTCGTCGTGCTTTAGAGAATACAGGTGGTCCTGTAGTCGTGATGTGATGTGTAATGTTGCTGGTTACACACGGTAGTTTCGGTTGCGTCTGATGAACCTCAGAATACTTATCGAGTAGTTGTTGATAAAGTGGGTCTATCGTGTGCTTAATTGTGACTGGAGATAACCTGCAACCAGAAAAAGAAGTTACGAAAACGGATAAATTAGTGTTTCCGTCTACTAACCTCCGTTCGCGCGTATCGATGATCAGATTATGGTGTTGTAGAAGGTCCATAACAATAATAGGCATAGAAACATCTGCAACACCGAAGATCCAGTGTATGGGTTTGTGTAAACTCACGTTAAGATATACTTGCCTTTTGCCATACGTAGCAATAGGTTTTCCGTTTGCCGCCTGTAAGTTTAGGGTCGATTCGTGAAGCCGGTCGTTGGGATTCGCTCGGAGAACGCTAACTTCTGCGCCAGTGTCGAAAAGGTAGCGAACTCTCATTGTCACATCTGTGACGTATAACAGACGGCTATGTTCGCCGGCTACGGTTGCCGTTAACGCGTGCCGGCTTGGAAGTTTCCCGAGTTCTTTTTCGAGTCGGTCGGTTTTGAGTTGGGAAAACTGCAAGGTTTTCTGCAATTTCTGGAAGTCTTTCCATACTGATTATGATACCAGCACCAGTCGGGATCATCCGTCTCTCGTGGTATAGAGACAGATCGCTTACATGAAGCGCTTCTACGTGGGGTGTATGATCACCTACGGTCATTACGAAAATTGAGATAACGGGTAAGTGCATGACATAACTCGGTTATGTCATTCTGGGACGTTTGAGGCTTTTCTTTGACTGAAAAACCTCGGTAGTAGAAGATTTTGTAATTTCTGAGATACGATCGACAAATGCAGCCAGCTCGTCTAAGGCGTTGTTTTGAAACGAGACCAGAACCGTTTGCACCTGTTGGGGAAGTTTGGACAAGAAAAGTTGTTTGAATAGGCCTTCGTCTAAAGTTATTAGTCCTATAACCTCTCTCATCCTTTGCAACATGTCCGTCGCAGAACCGTGTTGCAGGTCTGTCATTAAAGAGTCCGTCTAACCTTTGTCGATCGATCAGGTCTCCTCGTTTAAGAATGGAACGCTTTAAGGTTTTGCACGGTTCAGAAACATCATTAGTAAACATACTAGGTGTTACGTACCTGTTGAATTCCCGCGGTAGTGCCTTGACTACCGCAAGGAATTGTGCACGTGTGTCGTTCACGCCGTTCTCGTGGAAGTCGGCTTCTGCGTAGCAGAACCAGGCTTCGATACTGTCTGGACAGAAGGGCATGAGTTGGAACGAGGGTGGGGACGTAGTCTTAATCTTAAATACCTTGGGGGTCTGTTCAGTCATAGGGGAAAATTAAGTACGATAATACACGAGTGAAAGATATATTGATATCCAAAACCGTGGGAAAAAAATATCACAATGTATAAAAAAATTAAAATAAAGCAATGATACATAGAATCCCCAAAATGGAACAGACTCACAGTTTATGGTTTGGTGTACCAGATCACGTCGGGCTCACCAATGAAGATCGCACAGGTATTCAGTGTTTGACAACGCTTTTACAAGTAACACCTAATATAACTCGTACCCACCAAGAGCAATCAAAAGACAGAATCAAGGAGATCAGAAGTTGTATTCGACGATTGTCAATATATCGAAATTGTCTGATCTAGTTTGACTAGCGATTGTAGTAGATGTTGAGCACGGCGTTCACACACGTGAACTGGTGCGGATGCGCCTTCAGCTAGGTGAGTCCACTAAAACTAATCTGGTCAGCATCCAATGTCGAAAACCTACAGAGCTATTTATTTTGGGGATTTATTTTTTACCGCTACAGTCCTAATGGTCTAACCAACAACGACGGTGATACCGCCGACCAGAAAGAACAGTATTTTCAAAAATTTCAGCCGTCATGTACAAACTGAATGGATGAGAGCTTAATTTACAACTCATTAGGACTCTCACAAGTAAACCTGAGCGCTGAATTGTTGTCTTAGAAACTGCAGCATCTAGACGAAGACAATTCTCTAGAACTGGATGTGGTTCACTCTACTATTCTAGGAGGAGCGGCTTTAATTTTGGCAAGACCACTCACTGTGATATTTTCACAATCTCTAAGACGAAGCCCGGTCCCATAAAATTGGAAGCTGGCACTCATTACGCCAAGTTTAAAAAAAGCCACAAGCTGTGAATTTCGAGTTAATTGCAATTACATTGAAAACTTAACAAGGTCAATAACTTGTTGGCGGCCACTAAAATGGCAGATAGATTAACCAGGGTGGTCAATTTGGCTTCGAGTATGTTTTCTTTCTCTTTTGAGCCCTGTAGAGGTCTCTGCCTTCGTTATTCAGGAAACTTCACCAAGATTGATTAAGTTTCGAGAATATGCAAGGGTGGAACTAAGGCCACCAACACAAGCGGATCTCAAGCCAGCAGTCGAACAAGCAACAAAACTGATTTGTGCATTCAAAAGTGGTGCTTGGAAAAATGTTTCCGTTAAGGTATATATTGATGGACTCTTATTTATTTTCAGGAAGGGCTTGTTAATGCTGTAGTGACAGCGGAAGTACTCTGTTGGTTTTTCATCGGGGAAATGATTGGACGAAGAAGCTTTTTAGGATATAGTCGGGTTCCATATGCCTATATCAAGCACCACTAGTCTGCTTTTCGCATGGGGAGCACATCTTTTTATAGAACTATTTAGAAATTAAAGCTCACGAAATAAACAAAGATGTTTTATCTCAGTAGTTCTGTAAAGTACTTCCGAGTAAACCATGGGTTACTTATTCCTGTATACCTATTCTCTGTTTCCTCAGACTGCGTCATCCGGCTAAAAGTATTACTAATAACAACCATACTAGAAAAAAGCTGCCAAATGTTTTGCTTAATTTCCATGTATGTATCGCACCAACCAAATTACCGTTAAGGTATTTTATGTGACTCCAGTGGTGTGGTGCAGATTCCAACCTTATTTCAGTCTCTGTGAGTGTATAGGTCTTGTCTTAAATAGTTTGAGGAGATCCATATCGATTATCCTTGTGAGGCCTAATATTTTATTTTCGATATGAAAACCGGACCAAGCTGAAGAATGAGCCGTAATTTATTTTGAATGTTCCCAGTCAACAGCAGCAAAGTCGTTTGTTCGTAAAGAACGTTTATTATATAATGTGCCTTTAAAGATGCTTACTACTGACGTTAAAAGTCCAGGTGGTTTTGTAAAGGGTCCACATTAACTGTTGTCCAAGCCCGAATTTTTAACCTGAATGGTTAGTGCCAAATGCATTCCTACTGGCTTAGGATGTGTTGTTATAATGGTGGTATTTGTTATTACATCGGCTTTCGAATTCGGATCAGGAAATCAATAAGACTAACGTCTCACAGAATACTTGGTAGTGGTTCCTTGTACAGTAGGATTGTTTGAAACTCCTGCCTAATGTTCGAGCGATTCCCAGGTGTGTTTCGAAAACCAAATGTGGAGATGACACTTACTAGCTTCCTAAACACAATTAGTGATTGACAATGTGCCACTGATGCGTCACTCTATTTCATTTTTTCCATATTAGTAGCGTTGTTCACATGTTTCTGCTCCTTGAAAAAAAGCTTGCTTTTCCTTCGTAGGGACTTGCACATTTTGTTGCCGTTGTACGTAAAAATTCATTCAAGTCTTTGATGCGCAATGACTTGGAAATATACTATATTCAAGTGGAACCGACTACTGGAGAATTTTTTGTTGCCTATCAGTATAAACGGTTGAGTTACGTGTTGCGAGTCAGTTTGGTTTAGTGACCATCATGCACACTGAAAATTTTTGGTCCTCAGAATGTAAAACTACGGTACCAAATCGTGGAGTTTCTAAATAGTAAGTACTCGAAGCTAGTGGAATTCTGGCAATGTGAATCAATGGTTACTTTCTGATTTGCGCTGACTTTCCCTTTTACCACATATGAGGAATAACAGCTTGGCAGTGTGACAAAAATTACATGTATCATCCGAGTTAACTTACTGAATAAATGATAAAATCAGATGACTGTGAATAGATGTCACGAGGAATTAGATTTGTAAATTTTCTTAACCCTACAAACAGATTACAAACAAGCATTGGATTTTGTGGAGAATGTAGAATTTTAATTGTTTAGATTACAAACTGATCATAGATCACCATTGAAAGCCCTGAACGGCCGTTCCATCCTAGTTTGGAACCACTGATTCTACGTTCAGCAGTGGTAATGTCCAACTCCAATCGACTCTACAATCTCCACAAATTCTTATACTTAAAATGATCATGTACTTACCAGTGAATAGCTTCAAGGTGCAAATCCTTGAGTCCTATTAACAGGCCGTGATCAGTGTGACTTATCCACATCAGGCGATGGAGAGGGTTTGACAGTATAGTGGATCAGTTGAAGCTGGACATCGTTCGATGGAGGCACAGTGATATAGGAATTAAGTGTTTGCGTGCTAAGTGCTGGGTTCGATTCCCGTGCACGGGCCGTGGGTGCGCGCTGTTGCGGAGTACCATGCTATGACGGAGCTGCCGTCCAGTGCTTCCAAGTTTTCAGTGGTGGTCTAGTTAAGATCATTTCGTTATTTGAACTGTGACAAACTTCACTAGTTGTTGACCTGACAAAACTAGTTCCTTAAATAGTCCCTGATATCTATCCACTTCTGCTGCTTGCTTTCATTGTCTAATATAGCTGAACCAGTGAAAATCGCACTGGACCTACTCCCAAGTTGTTATCATGCTTGTAGTCTTGTGCGATGAGTTCTTGAGAATGCATTGGTTCGAAAACCGTTCAAATTCAATCTAACGTTGGGTAATGGGTTCTAGGACTTTCGAACACGGTATTAGGCGAAGAATACAAAAAGCTCATATCTAGATCTGATTATTTAAAGTACAGGCCATATATTGTGAAACCATAAACTGGAAAAAAGTGCGTATGTTAGATGTGATGTATGTCTAATAACCTGAAGTTTAAAAAGGATGTACGAACTTCACGGTCTGATCTTCCATCACAAATTTGATCTCTTTAACCAGCTGTGTAAATTCAGATGATGAACTTAGTAATTCAGATTGGGAAGTTAAGCTCGCAAGTGCGACTGACTATTTTGGTATGATTATTAGTTGAGACCTAACAAGTGATATATACAGTGGCAATAATATGGAATATGTTGCGTAGTCGTGTAAACAGGATAAATTCTGAAGTATGCTGAATGAAGCAACGGTTTTTTCTTCAATGGAATCACAGATAACTGGTTATGCCAGAGAAGCGGACTGTCACTTTACATGATAAGCAACAAAAAAAACGCCACTGGCGGTGAAATTATAGCTTATTTGAAACCCAAGCATAACACTTACTCGTAACTCCGATTTACGTCAGAGATATTGGGGAGTATTTATAAGTAACATGAACGCATGTTTGCAGTTCTTCATCTATAGTTTCGTTATGTTAAGATGTTTGTGTTATGTCCCGATAAGAATAAATGGCAACTTCTGGGATCCATTTATGGACAAATAATATGTGCGTATTTTTATCGTATAATTGTTAAGTAACTAAACTGTTCATATTCATGTCCCTCTTATTACAAGCTTTGTTTCGATCTATGAACTACTTTTATACGATCTACCATTCTTGAATTATGCCCTGTTTATTAATTACTATCTTCCCTATTCACAGCCACATTTGGCTAATTCTTGTACCAATGTTATCTTCTATTTTATGCTACGTTGTGGTCTGTCTGGTTGGTATGTAAACCCAGCATGCTTGAAATAAGTGATTCATATTGCAGAGGCTGAGATTGGTGTTCTGGATTCAACTGGCTGGGCTAGGCAGAAAGCAGGACCAATAAGGACTCTAGATTGGCCGTACAGGTTTCATGCGTCACTGGCCCGGTCGATGATTCACTGCTCTCTAATTGGCGTTATCGTTACGTTATGCAATAAACGGGGCACAAGTTACGACAATTTTTCATGCGAGAAGCACTTTACCCCAAAGGTTCGTTCTTGTACAGAAAAACACGGGTATTTATAGATATTAGCATTTGTTAAATCAACATTATATTTTGGCCAATCCGCTAGGAGACATTGTGCTACTGACCAATAGTAGCATGCCACGTCGATATTCTAGAAGGCTCCATTATGTTCTGATTGGCTGGAACTCTCCGGCTCCTTTAGGGCCTCTGGAGGCTTCGTTTTAGTCCTCGGGGACCGACGACGTCAGAATGTCAAGTCCCCATAGATATACTTGTTGAGCTATCAACCAACAGTTAGGAAGTTAACCACACGTATTCGACTTCTACAAATGATTAGTCAATCACCTTTCCAACTACTCAGTCATTCGACATTATTTCCGTAATCATCTGTGAAATTATAATTACACCACTACTCCATTAATTATGATTACTGTAATTATACATATCAAAATCCAGAGCTATGAAGAAAAACTAGTTGGAAAGAAATGCCTCTTTGCTTTATCCATATTTTACTGTATATTTGAATTAGAATTTTTACTGTTCTAACGATTATCTTTAAATCCATCCACAGTACCTTTGGGACACTGAGAGTTAGGCTAAGCTACTAACTACGCTTTACTTAAGTTTTTCTAGATAAATTGGATTGTGTGTGAATTGCGTAGAGGAATTAGCCTGCTCGACTTCGTTTGACAAACATTGATACACCATAATCCGTTACACTTTGAAACTACACTTTGAAAATAACGTCAAAATCATGTCTATATTTAGTATTTACAAGAAACAAGGCTGTTAGAAGAAACGGTACACCTAAAAAGTTAACGAGATAAGTCATTCATCATAAAAGCTTCCACATCATATGGCTCGGCAGTTATTTGTCTTCCAGCGAAGTAGCGCTTATTTAATGCATTTGCAGCATTGTGTACTGAACACGGGTCAGAAAATACAACAAAAATATTGACGAATTCTTCATTTGTCTCATGAGCACTGTCTTGATGAATTAACACTTTTTCAACCGATCCATATTTAGAACACTCTCCAGCCACTTCTCCTTCCAGTTCGTCATCACAATCTTCTGGACCGACCATATTACGTAAAATCAAAACACTGAAAACAAAAATACCAAAAGGTAAACCAACTGTTTAGAATCAAGAGACACTAGAAAATAATTATTAGGCAAAAAAATCCCACCCATATGTAAGTCTTAACGACTCAAATTTTTGTTGAATATTCAGGCAATAACTTTCTTAATACAACAAATTAAGCATTCAGGTTACAACTAGGTCACAGCTCACTGTAATAAAACCATACAGTTAAAACACTAGATCTCATGTTGGAAGTTATGTGTCGTATATGCCCTACGAATCGTTTAAATGATTATGAGGCCACTTACGTAATCGAACATGAAACTTTTATTAGTGTTGCTTTCACTGATTATCAATCAGGTACGTGATAAAATTAGTATAACCTACAATTCTGTACTTGGCATCAAACTGTATTTATTTATTTGAACACATAAATACTGGTACATGGGGGCACCAGATACATATGCGCCAGACAAATCTCATTTGATTTGTGTGAGGGCTGTGACACCGCCCGGGTGCCCGAACCGGAGCAGGTGGTTTTCTTAGGGGGCCACACCCGGAGCCTTTGACCTGAAGTTCTGATCCACAAGGCAGTGGAGCATCGTAAAGAGATGCAGTCCCATGATGGCCGGTGACCAACGATTGGTTCATACGCCATTTGTTCCCTCAGGGTACTGGAGCCCATGTACACCATTGGTTTGGAGTCAGGGTTTTCCAACTCTCCTAGGTGGACTCTCCATGTCCACCAACTCGGTTAAAGCTCCTATTGGACATTCGCTTTTCGTCCTCTCAATTTCGTAAACAACACCCCTGGTTCGAGAAGGCAGTGAGTAGGACTTCCCTGGCAGAGGCTGTACTGCAGATGTGAAGTCATAATATTTGAGTGTATTAAAACACCTCACAATAAGAATGCTATAACAGACATAATTAGTATAATCTATCTAAATGAGTTATCAGATTTTTCAGCGAACAGTACACCAATATGGTATGATCAAAAAACATTCCTAACCAAGGACATTTTTCACCCTTGGAAGGTGATATAAAAACACAGAAAATTAGACAAATTATTTAGATGATAATCTAGAAAGAATTCTAAAAAATATTATCATGACTCCATAAGCTGAGTCTACCCCATAGTTCTACATGTCATGGATAATAAATCCAAAACAAGATATGCTACCGGAACATACATTTCCATGAATTCCTTGGAGATATAATCTTTATGGAGAAAACTGTAACTATCAGGGATTTTAGCAGTTGATGAGACAACATTGACAATCTGTTTGTTAACCATTCCAATGACAGATTACTGCCATGTCAAAAAATTAGGTCAGTTACACAACTGACACTAATAACAATTAAACAATGATTCTATTACACATATTTTGTTAGAAACAAGAAATGAGACGTGGTAACTAACTTGTCATTAAGATACTGTTAAAACTTGGTACTCTTCACATCATTAGAGATTTCAAAAGTCTAATATAAATAGCGATTTACTACATTCAAAGAACCGAAGAAATATCGATACACCTATCAAACAACTAATTTACTACGTAATAAAGTGATCTGATCCACCCAAGCGCTGTGGAACATGACCGTATAAAACGGAAGACTAAGGAATTTTACGTATGAGATCAATGCTGTAACCACAGTATAGCTTCATGACTTCTAAATTATGAGGTGATCCCCAACTGTAACTCATACCCGACACGGTTAGTTTTACATTTCATAATAACGAATTCCAGCTAAGTTGGTTTAGAATTTGCTGACTGAGAAGGAATGTTTGTGTGGCTATAATATTAAGTTCAAAAACGAAAAAGGTACTTCTCACATTAAATCCCAACTGATAATGGGCTGTACATTGCTTGACTGAATCACTTTATTGAAGTAGGAAAGGACCAATGCCAGTAGATTTAATGACCGGTTAGGACGACCAGAACAATCAGCAGTACCTAGATGCTTAGCTTTTGATAAGAAATATGGTGCAGATCCATTCATCATAACGGATGGCATATGAGAAAACTGGAGCCAAAAGCAAGAGGGAAATAGGGTTTTTCTGGGACTTTAATCTGACGAAACTAATAATGGTTGTATCCTGCAACTAATTCAACATTATTTGTGCCTGGGCTGATTGGAAGACATAAAAGGGAAGACTATTGACGGTAAACACAATGACCATATTACTTTTTAATCACAATTAGAAGATGAGGATCACCTTGTTTACAATAGGTCCACAACTCTGATTAAAACATCTGCACCTCTGTGAATGCGTAAAACAACTGAACAGCGATTTAAAGTTTGGGTATTATGTGAGGAGGGTTTGACCGAACAATCATTGGACTGTGACAGCTATTATCGTCCTCCACAAATATGATAATGAATAATTAGAATGACTGAAAAGATTATTTCAAAAGCCTGAGTCAATGGATGCTTCACAACGGAAAATCACTGAAGTGTATAATTTCTGAACGATGAAAAATTGATCACATACAGCAGCTGCAAACCCGAACCAAAATTTTGGACTTTATAGTATCAAAACTTATTTCTCATTAATAATGTTGGTTTACTACTATATACAATTCTTGCTACACAGGATCCACCTAGGGAAATTAGAAAACCTTGGTTCCGAACCAATAGTGTACATGGACTCCAGGATCTTAAAGAAGCAAGTGACGCGTGAACCTAATCTTTGTTACCGGTTACCACGAGACCGTATCTCATAACGTTGCTCCACTGCATTATTAGACCTATAGGTCAAGACTCGGGAGGTAGCTTCCTAAGATAACTACTCCGCTTAGTTCGGGCACTCACGTAGTATCCTAACCCTCACAGAATTTAAATGACTACAAGTGGAGAAATTATTCTCACTCACGAAAATTGTATTCACAACTATTTGATAACATTCGTTTATATTTTACATTGCGTCACTTGTCTATTCGCTTTTATTCCCCTTTGTGTATTCTTTTATTTTTCAACTAATACAACAGCTCGCCTATGGTGGAAATCCTGTCCCATCTAAACAATATCAAGTCACAGACCAGTCGAAAGTTGAACGCTGCCATCAAATACGAATTCTGAACCAGCTTTTCAGAAACCACATGTGCTATTCAAACTGGCCTCCTTTAACGTCGCACACTAATGCAGATCAGAAAATATATAGTCTTTAGAAAGTTTCAACATCGATGTCCATAGTCTGTATGAGAACTATATCTGAGACACTAGTGAAGCACTACAAACTCGCTCTTCATCTGTCGCCTTAAAAAGCCTGTTTCATGTGCAGCAGTATGACTTCGCCCTAGGACCTTGGGTTTTCTGCTTTCAATCTTACCGTTCTTCAACCGATCTGTCTGGCATGGTAGGACCTTGAGGAACGATTGTCCCAGCTAGTGGAGCCCTATTGGTTCATCACGATAGGAAGGCTCGACCACTACGTCAAGATAGCAGCAATGGTTGGAAAAATTAGCAGAGAGGAAAACGAACCTAACAAACATATAAAGTGATACTATACCTAGTTTTTAAACAAGAAATTGATGAATATTTTAAAATGCTCATACTTACCCGCCTGAGAAAAAGTTTTGATTTCCGGAGGAAGCAGAATGAGATGTGAAGCTACTTGGAGATGCAGAGGAGGGTTGGGCATGTGAATATTGCCCAGGCACCTCAGGTTGCCAAGTCCCTACAGCAACAGCATTAGAATTCTCATTGTAATTATTCACATGTGTGAATGTTGCATTAAATTCAGCTGTTAAAAAATTTTAAAATGTGAGTAAAAGATCGAGTTACTAAGTTTGAGTATCAATAGTTAATCTAATGAACATTAATATCATAATAAAACCATACATAAAACATAGTACTATTATGTGGGGATACGAAGAAACTATTCTACCTAAAAAATTGAAACGGAATTCTGTAGCACGAATATATAGAATTTAAATTTCTGAAGCATATTTATGACCAAATAAATCAAAATTAGAGATTATTCACGTGTAAAGCGTCAGATTACAATTGCAAACAAGAGGAACATTTCAAGGTTTAGTGCTTTAAGTCTGTTATTAGCACTTTTGACTTTACCCATGTATGTCTTCTCAGGCACAAGAATAAAATTGTAACTAAACGATATATTCAGAATGCTAAATAACCATCACTTTCAACTTAAAGGGTATTAGTTGCCAGTTTGAGGGACAATCCAGAGTATGAGGCATAAAAGTGAATATATAAGTATTTACTTTTGGTGCACAATAGTCTTGTATTTTATAATACATAATCACATAAGAATGGTGCAGAATAGTACGATGTACGTGCCTAGAATTCATTGAGTTTTAATTAGTAGTTTTGGGGGTAGATTAGAATATTACGTAGACTACTGGTCGTTTAGGTACATACAGTAAAGTGTCAGTAACCTTATTATTATTATTATTATTGGACCTGAGAAAGCTTGCGGAATATTCACAAATTAGCAGATTAAACTAGCAAACACATAGAGACTGACATCAAAATTATTTAGCTGGGATAAAGTGAGAAATTATAGATTTACCACTTAATGAGGGCTGATCAAGTGTTGGTTGACCAGTAGTTGGGACTGTTGTGGGAGAACATGTAGGTAAAGAGCTGTTGGTAAGATTGGTAGACTGTGTTGTTGTGGAGGATAGAGTATTCAGTACTACAGGATGAGCCACTTCGGGTTGCTTTGAATAAGAATTCACAGGGAGCTATAATAAGAAAAAAGAGGCCTTTAAAATACATACTAACCAACTAAGAAGATGAACTAGCTATGATGTCAATCATTACCTGCTCTGTTTCCATTGATAGAACTTTAGCAGTGGCCGAAGCCGCAGCCACCGCTGCCGCTGGTGGGAGATTAGAAGAACTGGCACTTGAAATACCATCCGGGGGTGAGATAGCTTTGCATACTCTCAAAAGCTGTCCACCAAGATTGAATTGATTCATGCTACCAACAGCATCAGCTGCACTCTGAGTGGATTCATATTCTATGTAACCAAAACCTCT